CATTGCTGCGCAAGCTCTTTGGCTTTCATCCAATTGGATGTGTAATCCACGAATCTCAGATTCGGCCATCTCGACTTTTTCCTGGAGACCTTCCATAGCATAGCACAACCTAGTAGTTGTCTCATCAAGCGCATCCACGCGCTGTTTCGTAGTACCCTTCTTTTAAAGCTCTACCACTTCAGTGGTATGTGATGTAATTGGATCCATAACTTTCTTATCGAGGGTCGTGAGCCGCAGCTCTGATACCAACTTTCACAGGGTGCCTTTCTTCTTGACACAGAAAAAGACACCGTGCGGTAGTAGTCTGCTCCGCTAGATTACCTTCCGCCTTTTCTAGATCACGTCGGGGCGAAAGAAAATTTGATTACAATTTTGTAGAAAGCTTACAATAGAGAATTTGAATACATTGAAAGTAAATTGAACATTGATTGATGAAAACTGAACATTACAATTGATGAAAGCAGAAAATTACAATTGTTGGTGCAAGGGGCGGACACCAATGAGCTCGAAAGATTTTTGAATGACTAATACCCCCTATAATAGCATTCTGAACAAAAACTCAAGTGACGGGAGTAGACGTTTAAAAGACGAGGAATCATACTAAACGTTTACCAATATCAGAGTTATTTTACAACTGAAATAACTATTACAATGAAAAGAAAATTACAACTTAAACTTGAAGTAATATTTACAATGTGCGATCGAAGTTGGGTAAACTGCGGCTGCGATAGTGTCAAGAGGCTAAGTAAAGCTGCGGTCCTTGACACGTGGAGTCGTTTCTTTATCTCATGTTTCCTCTCTCTTTCTCTCTCTCTCTCTCTCTCTCTCTCTCTCCCCTATTTAAAAATACATTAAGAGGGTGTTTAATACCCATTTTCATATAAAAAATACATTTTAGAATAGTAAATTGATGGGAAATATGTGATTAAAAAATAAGAATTTTTTTATTAATGTGTACTATTATTTTAATAGAGAATGTGTAGTTGAAAAGAAAAGAGAGAAAAATACATTTTAAAAAAATGGGTACCAAACGGATCTAAAAATAAGTTTGAATTGTAGATGGAATCATTGGACATGAAATCTGAATTTAATCGTCCATTCAGTACATTAATGTCGGATAAATAAGAATCATTTTATATGCTTTTCACGTAGATCGCAATGCATGGTGTGTTGGAGATGCTGTAGAAAGAAGGCTTTGTCGGCAGCACACGTGCGTCTTCTGAATTGGTCCTAGTGAATATAGCATCCAATTAGAAAATTGTTGGGGACGCGTTATGTTTAACCAATCATAAATAAACACATGTACAAATGTTGGAAAAGTCAAATCCACTTAGCTAAATAAACAAGTTTAGGTTATACTTTATTAGTCGGTGCATTTGCATACACGTAATGACACTTGTTATCCTTTGGTTTAAAGATGAATTTCAATTATTGGGTATCAAAATAACGAAGAATTTCTCAAATCAATAATTCCCTTAATTTTGGGAGCATATGATGCAACTCCAGCCCTGCACCAAAATATCGTTTTTCCACATTTTACACCAAATATTTGGTGTAATATCACTTCAACTCAACACCAAATTTCGCATCATATTTGATTTTTAGCCAAATGTTGTTAAGGGTATTTGTGTAATTTTATATTATACATAAAATTTAATTCTTAATTAATTAAGTATTATTTTTTAATACTATTATTGTTATTAGTTGTAATAAATTTTAATCATATAATCAATAATAATAATCGAAGAATGAATTAAAATAAAATCACTCAAAAAGTTTTAAATGCAGGAAACATGATATGTAAATTAAATAAATAAATATTTTTGACGAAACTTAATTATTGATGTAGCAATTTATGTAGTATTAAATTAAATAAACAACTTTCTAGATATATATATTGTTAAAAAAATTAAGAAAATAAATAAACATTGTTCATTTGGTGCAACTTTTGGTGTAATGAATTAAATATATATTTTTGTTTGCTGCAAAATGGTAAAAAAAAAATTACCTCAAATTTTAGTACAGTGTTGTAAATGGCCTAAAGATCCATTGGGATGGTTTTAGAGCCCAATTTTTATTGTCAAAAATTATTTTAGACGTTCGATAACTATAAAAAGGCATATAAAAAAAATCTGTACGTACCATCTGAAAGTGAATTTTGAGATGCAGTAATTTCTTCCATTATGCTTTTACCTTATTCAATTATCTAAAATTAAGATATTTGTTTTAATCCTAATTAATAATATTAATTCTTTTAACAATACGATACGAAATGTGCTTTTATTTCGTAATTATATAAATTTTGAGATCTTAACAAAAAATACTTATTCTGAATTTGAAAAAATTATAGTAAGTACTTTGCATTATAAAAATATTTGACAATATTACTTATTTTATTATAAAAGTAAAAATAAATATAAATATTATAATAGTAATAAAGATCGTTAACATGAGAAATAGTTCAGTGGTCATGTTTTGAGTTTACTCCCCAACAGTCATTAGTTCGAGTCCCTTCAGGACCACTGAGACAAGTACCTAGCTGTAAACTTTAGAGTCTAGCAAAATTAATCGAAATGCACGTAAATTAGTTCGAACACCTACGATCATAAAAAAATAAATTAAAAAAAAAAGGATCATTACTAATGTCACTTTCCATGTCTTCGAATAAGAAAATTATTCTTTCCGATTTAATGGATTTCATGTAGCCTAAATTTTTAATAAATTTTGATAAAATATTTAATTAAAAGATTATAAATATCAAGAAATATATAAGATTAAAGTAATTTTTAAATTTCACTTGATTTTTTATCAATTATTTCTTAACTATCAAGTCATAAAAAGGACATGATGGCATGCCAGCACACGCCACGTTATGCTGTTTCCTTGGAATACGAATCTTGGAAAAATAAATATCTAAAGCTTACAGGATAAGAGTTTTGCTATTCATCATGGTAGGGTTCACAGAATTCCTACGATACTCACATCAGATGGGTTCCATGCCTATATAACAAATTAAGTAATATTATTTACAATTGCTCAATGTCGTAATCGCTCTATATGACATACATATGATGGTTAATAATTTGAACTGTAACATGTATGTCACGAAGTGAGATTGCGATAGTGAACGATTGTAAATAACATTATTCTAAAAAATCCACTCATACCCTTGTTGTGAATAATCGGTAGGGGTTCTATCTTGTACCTCAAGCTCAATTCATAGAATAAAGATAAAATTAAGGAACAATTGTAGCCGCCCACTGTCAACCTTCACCCTCCTATGAAATCTGTCCTAAAAACTTTATTTCTTGGTAGCATCGTCCTCAGCCTTTCATTTCTTGATATGGACGGTCCAAGTGGATCGTTCCAAAAGTACGTAAAAACTAGACCACATGTTTCTATCGAAGGCAAATAAGTCTTCTTACATTTTAACTTAACGAACTAATTGAACAGTTACCATCAATAGGAAATGCCGACATCAAATACTAAAAGTTTAAGCCCCTGTTTGGTACTCATTTTTGGAGTCAAAAATGCATTTTTTTTCGTCACATCAGCACACAATTTTTGACTTCTACACTCTAATAAGTGTAAAAAAGGTAAAAATTAAGGACATCAGCTGCTGATTTTCAAGAGAATCGAACTACTAAATACCTTTGTTTATCTTATGTTAAGTAGCAGTGACATAGCATGACGATAATTAAATTAGACCCTGTTTGGTTTATACTATAATCAAAGTTTTAGTAGATTTTAGTGAAAGATGATAGAATGTGTACTTCACAGATCGTGACTCTCATAGAATGTATTATTAAAATTAATTTTATACTTTGACTAAATTTTAATTTTCCTTTAGCTGAACTAAATAGGGGTTAAATTTGTTGAACCGGCGTATAATATCACTATTTGTTCCATTAAATTTTTTAATATATATATTCTTTTCAATCACACATTCTCCAATAAAATAATATTATACGTAAATCGAAAACTTCTCTTTATTTTTTAACCATTTATTATTTAAAAAACACTATTCCAAAAATTATAATCTCATTTAATGCGGGCCAAACCGGGGCTAGTATAAGCGAAGCAACGATACATAATACTCCATTCATCCCATTTATATAGGTTTACTTTTATTATTTTTGTCCCAACTATATAGTCCTTTTCTATTGAGAATATTTTGTTTTTTTTATTTACTAATATACCATTATTCAATTTGCCTAATTATAACCAATTTTTTTTACTTAATCTTGAAATTTTACAAACATAAAAAAGAGTAAATTAAGAAAACTTTTGGCAAAATTTACTTTTTCAATATTATTAAATAAAATTTCTTAAACAAAATTAGTTTATATAAATGGGACGGAGGGAATAGATCATCTCTCATTTCCCTATATAATAAAGAAGAAAGGATAAAGATATTTGTACAAAATCTTATTGACAAAATGGTGTACCCACTCTCACAAAATTAGCAGATCCCGTGTGAATTTTAAAAATATTGGCTTGTGATCCCCACCCCCTTGTGAGTAGTGATTAAGGGAGTTTGTAAAAAAAAATTGTACACGTAGCATGATTGAAGAAATAAAACCCTTTTTTATAGTACAACAAACCAACCAATGGTCACACTACAAGTGCAACCTCCTAGCTTGCTGCCTATAAAAATCAAGAAACCTCCTCGAATTCAGTTTGTGCTGGAAACTTAAACCCCACCTAACTGTCTAGTTCTCCCTGTGTGTGATCCCAAAAAGAGAGATTTTTCTGACAAAAATGGGTGCAGCAACTTGCATAGATATTATTCTGGCCATTCTTCTGCCTCCTCTTGGTGTCTTCCTTAAATTTGGCTGCAAGGTTGTCCTTTCTTTTCCTCTCTTTATGATTTTCTTAATTACTAATGAATCATGATGTCCTATTTATAGATTATGTGCGTCATCGATACTCGGTTTTCTTCACTCTTTCCACACTTCTTTGACAGAGGGTTGTCGAATAACATCATAAAAAAATAGATTAACAAAACTATACATCAGAGACTTAATTCCTCTAGCCTTTAATGTGTTGATCTTCTTTTTTTGCCGAACGTCAATAATCCGTAATTTTTCCCCTATTTAGTAAGGGGAAGATGTCTTTTGAAGTTGAGATCTATTGTCTACACTTTCTAGCGATTTTAGAAAAGTTGCTAATAATTTTTTTCTTCTTAAATTTTGATGCAGCATGAATTCTGGATATGTTTGTTGCTTACCATCTTGGGCTATATTCCTGGAATCATTTATGCTATTTATGCCATCACCAAGTATTGATGGATCCTTTCCTGGTAATTAATTACTCATAAATCCTCTTTTATTTCTTAATTTTTCTCGTAATTCAATGAATTCACCCCAATCTTTTCTTAAAGAGCTGAATCTTTAAAATCTAATGAAGTTAGTATCATATTCTTTGATTATTGACAGGTGGAGATGGCGAGGCTATATAAATCTTATTGCTGATTAGTGTGTCATGGAGTGATTTGTTTAAAAGTTTTTATCTTGCTTTAATTCATTCTGTAAAAGTCATTATGTAGTGTGTGACTTCTTCAACTTTTATTGTAAGTAATTACTTTGATTTGATCAGCTCTTCTTTTAGCTTATCTAATACTCAGGGCCGGTCCTGTGATTGTCGAGGCTCGAAGCGAAGTCCAAAATTAGGCCCCCAAAATGAATGTATATGTAAAATTCAACGATATATTATGCAACATATTTTTAACTTAAAATTTAAGATTAAAACAACAAATAAATATCTCAATCATATCACAATTAAAAAAAAAATTATTTTCCTTTTCCTTTTTTAAATATTAAAAAAACTTTGGGCCAAAATAAGCCCTTTGTGATTTTGGGCCTGAGGCATAAGTCTCATTTGCTTGTGCCCAGGACCGGCCCTGCTAATATTCCCTCTAATTATGTACATATTTACATTATTTGTTGCATAAAGTATTTAGATTTTTTTACATCGATCGATGTCGCTCTATCATATCGTATTGTTAATAATTTTTAAATATTTTTGTTTATTTTATAATATTCACGGGATTTAACAAGAAATAGTATCATTTATGAAAAATATTAACGATTTTCTATAAGTTATTGAAGGAGTATTATAGAAGAGAGATTGATGGTGTGTTTCAATTGTCTGTATAAGTTGTCAATGAATAAAGAAAAAATAACTTATTGCTTTTGTCAATAATTGATTAAAAGTAAACAATAAAGGAAACTTTTTTATATTTGACAAAGCTATCTTTAACTACTTTTTAAAGTAACAAACATTTGTCGGATTAAAAGTAACAAACATATATCGGTTAAAGAGTAGTTCATGAACACATGGTCCGGGTTTAGGTCATTTGTCGGGTTTAAAATATGAATTGTTATTTGAGAAAACATAATTTTCTTATTTTCTTTAACTTCATAAAGTAGGTTTGGACGTGGTTTGATTTGGGTTGGTTTCGATTCCAATCCAAAATCAAAATTAAATTAATCAGTTTGGGCAAATTTCAAATCAAATCAATTCATTCTAACTCTTAAATCGAACCGAATCCAATCACACCAAATCGGTTTGGACTTCTAGTCCAAATTAAATTTTTTTAAAAGAAAAATCGTTTGAATTTTAGGCTCACTTAAACTGCCAGAGCTAAAATAATCAAATAATTTTATATTATAATAACTACTGATTAACAAATACAATCAAGTTAGTAGAAACGGATCAATAGAAAATTTAAAAATTTCATTTTTTTTTTATGTATTATGTAGTCTGACTTCTTGAATATAGAAAAAAAAATGTTGAGTATAACATAATAAGTTTGTGAAAAAAAAATCAGTGTCATTACTTACCGGCAACATCATATATTAGAGGGAATCGAGATATAGTTATGAGATTAGAGTTTATATTTTGATTTTTAATTTTCTTAAATTAAAAAAATGTGAACACGTAAGTGGGTTGGATTGGGTTGGTTCAATTAACCAACGGTTTGAAAACTTCAAATCATGACTGAACCGATCGAATCGGTTCGATTTGATTTGCTTAGTTGATTTTTCGATTTTTTTTGCTCAGACCTACACAAAGGTAAAGAAGAGCCAAGTTATCACAAGTTCAAAAACGTAGGTTGCGATTAGTTTGGCGTTTTCGGGCCATTTTCTGTTTTTCGTTTTCAAAAAAGCGAAAAACGTGTTTGGTCCGTCGTTTTTGAAAATGCATTTTCAAAAACGAGTTAAAATTTATAACTGAAAACGCAGAATAACTTTTTATCATTTTGAGCGGTTTTAGTAATAAATTTTCAAAACACGGAAAACACTCAAAACATGTCGTTTTTAGGGAAAACTAAAAATTGTTTTGAAATCAAAAATGGAAAATTAGACAAACCGCACCCTTAATATTTTTGGTTGCCTAATTTGGGTTTAATTTTCTTTTTCTTGTTTTTGCTTTTTTCCCCTTACTACAGAGGTCTTAAAACTTTTGTGACGTGAGTGTTGTGTCAAATGTGACATCCAACATAGATACGAGATGGCAGAATTAATAGAAAAATAAATTCTATATCACTTTGTATGAGCTTTGATTGAATAATAATGATGTGTGAACTTATTATGTCACGATCCTAATGGAGCAAGATGTCCATCACTTTCACCACTTAGAACTTGTTTGGTTCGAATTTAAATTTAATTTTAATCTAAGTTAAAATCAAACCGTCAATATTAATCACATTTTTAATGGGTCCTATAATTTTTCAATCACACATTTCAAAATTTTTTATCACAATTTACTAAAAAATTTAATTTTAATCTCCACCAAACACCAACTTAATTATCTGTAAAACGAGGTTGGGGTATCTCTTGTGTTTGAGTTTTGACCTGGAATTTTGGATTGACAGAAGATGGAGAAAATGCACCACCGTTCAATCATGAAATTCAGTTAAAGAGGCATTCTTTATAGCTTGCACCCTTTGTAGGCAAACAGATTTTGGATTTTCGCACACTTGTTTAGCAGTTTTTCCATGTGCTATTCGGCAAAAGGAACAAATATTTTAAATATTTAACTGATACTAATGTTCAAGACGACTTATAAAAAGGATTATGTGGGGGTTGATTTTTGATATATTTGTTTGACCAATTTTAATCTACAAGAGCGTGATCAAAACACAATTTATATGAATGAAAATTTGGACAGAGTTTCGGTATAACGATTACGCAAAACAATGATTAAGAAGGAGTAGAAATAGAGAATAATTCAAGACGAGACGTTATCTCTTTCCTTAAAACAAATTGCTCCGCTACGGTGCTCATGGTGAATGGCACTTGTCTCCGAAAATACAATGGATTCACAACTTGTGGTAGCAGCACTTCAAACCACAAGAAATTGACGAACTTTTGACAGAATTTCCCCTCTACAAAGGAAATGCATGAAAATGTTATAAAATTAGAAATGAGAGAATCGTAAGAGGGAAATAAATGTTCAATGCAATTGGTGTTCCCAAAATCATGCCCATATGGTCCTATTTATAAATGTAGAAAGGGTGCAAATAAAGTACTGTGGCTCAAAATATGCATCCTTTCGAAAAGTTGCAACACTTGGCCAAAACCTGCATCCTTTCGAAAAGTTGAAACACTTCATTTCTTCCAACTTTGGTTCGCAATTTTTCATTCATCTAGAATTGGTTTCGAGATTCAAAATATATCACGATAATCTACTCGACGAGTAGAATAAGTTGTCTATTTACTTTTGTAATTTGACCATCAGATCAAGTCCAAATATTTGGTCGAAGTTGACACGAAGTCACACCTTTTCATTTTCCAATTTTTGGTTAATTATTTGAACAAATTTCTACAACTAATGATGAAAAAAATTAGTAAAAAATCAATTACAATAAAAGAAATCAGTAAAAAAGTGTCCCGATTTTTATACAAATTAATCGACGAGTCGAAACAAGAATTGAGAGAAGATCAAGAAACGTATCATTTGATCCTAAAATTTGTTCAAGAAAAGCCAAATGTGTAGTAATTTTTACTGCTAACAAGGAGTGTGTATACCAACTAACCCTCTTATCTAAGCATATTAAGCCCCCGTTTGATTCTCATTTTTGGAAGAACAAGAATGAAAAATATAGTCGTTATGAGCCCCACACAAGAGATAGTAATTTAAATTTGGTGACTTGATGTGATGAATAACGATCATATTTTTAATTTTAATGAAGAAATAATGGAAACCAAACAGGATTTAATTTTTAAGACAAACGGCATCGGTAAATTAGCGTGAGAACTTCGTATATATCGCCAAGCTAGCAGAGCAATCCGACCGCCGTGACAAGTTTGCCTATTTTTTATCCTTCCGTTTTCCTCCAAGTCCAATTCATTTCTACGTCCGACATTTCAGTTTTATTTTTATAATGAAATAGTAAAACCTGGGTTAATTTTTCAGATTGTTGCTTTATTATGACATTTCAATTATAATGTATCGATTGAATATTGATATTCCTAGGTGATTTAACTATAATTTTTTATTTATTATTATTATTTTTTTAAACTTTTTGAGTGTTCTCACTTTTTTAGTCTATATAACTTTTTTAATTTGTGTTACTTTTTTGAATTTGTTACTTTTTTTAAAAAAAATTGTCACTTTTTTTTTTTTTTACTTTTTTAAAATTTTTGGCATTTTTTTGTAATGTTTGTCACTTTTTTTAGTCACCTTCTTGATTTCTATCACTTTTTTTTAATGATAAGCATACTTTTTAACAAAAGTGAAATTGTATGTCATTTTTTAATTAAAAAGTAACACTTAATCTTTAAAAATGATATTGTGTCACTTTTTTTTTATAAAAAAATGACACCGTGTCACTTTTTAATATTATTTTTTACTTTCAAAAAAACTTTTCATATGTTTTTCAAAAGACCCTTAATTTTAAGGGTATTTTTGTAAGGTGCCCTTAATTTTTATTGGTTTGTTTTCCCATCTAGCATCAATATGAAAGCCGAGAAGGGTCAGTACACAAGCACTGAATAGAGAAATAGAATGAGACATTGTAATCAGGACACAAAAATTGACAAACACTCGGTAACGATAATGGTCACGGCATGTCATGTGGGAAGAAAATTTATTATCGAGGGCTCTAAGCTACGAGAGATGCTGGACTGACAGGGCCAACATGTGGGAAGAAAATTTATTATCGAGGGCTCTAAGCTACGAGAGATGCTGGATAGATAGGGCCATGTTGGCCCTGTCAGTCCAGGCGCCGGTCCAATTGGGTGGCGCCCTCATTTTAATGAAACCACATTAACCCCCGTATGACCCTCATTATTTGAAATTTTAATTTTTGAAATAATATTTTTTATTTTTAAGAATGAGTGGTTGAAAAAAAAATGAAAATTTTTCAATTTAAGTGTATATTATTTTATTAAAAAATATGACTAAAAAAGAAAAAAAAATGTATTAAAAATTAATTAGGGCGATATGCATAGAAAAAGTAAACAAGAGAAGACGAAGAATTTGTTTTCTTGAGGTTTTGAGATAAAACTCTTACATTACCATGAGCTTCCCACCAGTGAAAAAATGTTCACAACGTTAATGCACATATTTGATGGCAAAGGAGTGTAAT